CCAGCTAATCACTGGTGAGTTACATAAACAGGACTTCAAGCTAGGGTGGTCTGACCCCAAAGCCTTGGTTCCTTCTAATTCCAATGCCCATTTTCCCAACTGATGAGCAAGTTAACAGACCAAGTTTTATGTAGCAGTTCATAACAAAAAGAAATGTTGGTGTGTCTTGTCCTTGAAGCTGTGGTAGTATACCACATGTCTGCCTCGCTGCCTGGGGGAGAGGACAAAGCCACCATCTCTTCATTGGAGGTGCCCAAACTCCCCAGTCCTTCACTTCCATCCTGGCCAAAGCCTAGGAAGCTACAAGTAAATTCCCACCTAAGAAATTTTCTCCTAAGCAATTTCCCCAATCAGTGCAGTTATCAGAGTGATGCTAGATAAGATGTGACTGCAAATAATTTAAATTTTAAAATGTAAGCTTCCTGTTGCCATAGATCAATGAAACCCTCTCAATTTTATGGCCATATTGCCATAGGCATATTTTTCATTGTTTGCCTTGGGAGCCCTGCTTTGGCCTCTGTTCAACAAGCTCAGCAGGCAACTCACTCAAGCCACTCAAGGCCCTTGGAGGGGAGGAATGGTGCCATCATGGAGAACTCTGCCCTTTCCCAGTCAGGGGAGAAGGAAAACCGAAGGTGGAACGACTCATTAACAAGCTCCCTTTGCCTTGAGCAGATCAAGGAACCAGCACAGGCTAAAATTTAGGATCTCTTTATAGATCGTCAAAATAAAATACGAAAATATGAAAACCTCAAAAACAAGCTCAAGAAAGAACTTAGGACAATGAATATTTAAATATTCTTGGTACAGAAAAGGGTATAACCTCTCCTGAGGGCAATCTGACATGTGTCTCAAAGTCCTCTGACAATTCTGTCTCTAGGACAACGTCCCTAACAACTAATCAGAGACATATTCATCATTCAGTATTACAAGGCTATTTATAATCAAGATATTTATAACAGTAAAAAAATCTGGGAACAATCTAAATATCCAACACTAAGAAATAAAAAACCATTAAAACTGTAATGCAGTATTTATTGAGGTGGAAAAATACTTCAATACAATGTAAGCATCATTTTTAAGATATTTGGTATTAATAAAGAAAATAAAATGTTAACGATGGGGATTTCTGGGTTGTAAGACTATCAGTGATTTGACAAATGTTTTTTCATACCTTTCTGAATTGTTCTTATAAGAAAAAATTAAGTCAAATCTAAGTTACAATTTCATGGAGATGGAGATGTTGGACTCATGATCATTAATGCATTCAAGTTCAAAGGGCAACCTGAGAACTCCCTGCCCCTGCCCCCAAGAGTTTTGTCCAGGATGAAGGAAATCTGGGATGAAAGAGTGGAAGAGAGAATTATTTAAGTCTTTTATTAAAGGAACCAGAAATTTTATTCAGACCTATTTTCTTGCTTCCTTTTCCAATTTATGACCTCACAGGGCACATTCTAGTCCCAAGGATTTTCACTCCCCGGGACAGAGTCACAAAAACAGTACAGCCTGAATTTCCATGACCTTCTGCATGGAGATGTAGCCAGTTTAATATTGGACAACCCAAAAGAAGGCGAGGAGGACTCACAATAGTTTCTCACTCAGAAAGAAGACTGAAGTGGAATGGGAAGAAAAAATATATAGCAACTTAAAAGTTCAGAACTTATAAATCCATAACCACTCTTCTCTCCAGCACAAACAGGTGGCCATAGGGAGAATCAGCAGAACCATCACTTTCATAAATGAGATTAGTAATAATGATGGTGTATGGCCATGAATTAATAGTAAGACAACAGAGAAGGATGTTCCTAATGTGAGTGGTTGACTGAAGCCTGGTACCTCCCTTTTAACTCACATCTTGACAAGAAGTAATACAAATGTGATCACATACGAGGAAATTCACATGTTAGCATGTGTACAGAGTATCTCTGGAAGACTACAAAAAAGTGAGCAGTGCAGAGGAGAACTGGGAGGCTATAGGACGTAAGTGCAAAGAAGACATTGTGTTCACTATTTTAGACCTGCCATGTGCATATTATTAACAACTCAAAAAATGAATAAATAGAATTTGCCTGAAAACAAACTGTGGCCTAAAATATAAACAGACTGTGGCTGATATTACAATCTATAGAAAGAGCAAAATTTGTATTGGGGTATCATTCTGTTTAAGGCAATACCCTGACATGACTCTGGATATGAAAAGGAAACCTACAGAGATGTTCTAAAAGGGTCGGGGGTGGGGGGGTCTTTATGTAAGAAAGTGAGAAGAACTTTGTATTTCTGAGGACAGTTCCAGGAAGAGGATAAGTGACATGGAAAGGAGATAGAGGGGCTGGGAGAGAGAGGCACCTGGTCACATGCAGGAAGCCTGACTGTAAGGAGAGGCATGGCCAGGGGTAGCCCAAAGATCTCCAGGAACAGTGCTATCCCAAACTTGTGTGTTGCAATTACCACCTTGCCCCTCCCAGTACACTTCCAACTGTCAGTAGAAGTCTGTAATACATAGTAATGTTGTGTTGGGCTTTGGAGAAAGAAAAGGAGTGTCCCAAGTGGGGCCAAACAAGCTGCCAGGAGGGAGAACAGAAGACCACAGAGCAAAGACATGGTTAGAGCAGGAAACTATGGTGAACCTGGGTGCAGGGCAAACTGACCAGGACTTCCGTGGAAACAGTAGGCAGGCAGGGAGGTGCCTCTGGAGAAACATTCCACTAAATGCAGGATGGGCATTCACAATATTTCATGTGGAGATGATGATCCCTGCAGCCTTGTGGGCTTGAATCATCTGTTGCCTGTCCCCTTACTAGGAAGGTAAGTTTATGATCTTCTCTTTTTTCCTCCATATTCTCTCCCTACTTCCAATTTTTTTAAAAGAAGAATTAGCTAAGCGTCTCAAACATCGTTAATTGTGAACCAGCTGAAGGCAAAGATAGACACCAGTGTCTGAAAACACTCAAATCTTCCTCCAACACCCAAGAAAAATAGTGCTGCCTCCTTTCATTGCCCAGTTAGGTAAATAAGACAGTCAAAGATGATCCAGTCCCAATCATACCCATATCGTCAAGTCAGGATTGCTCTACTCCATTCTGGTCTGCAACTCCCTCCAGCTCAACCAAGTCCTAATGTAAACCTTTCCCAAATCTTAGACCTGGCTCTTCCTTTGCTCATATCTGCCCCAAGCCAGCCAGGACTCAGTGTGCAGATCACGCACTGACCACAACATGGACTAGAAGAAACTCCTGACCAGATGTGATCATTCTTCAACCTCACCACTATGGAAATATCTCTCCTCTAAAAAAAAATTAAAATTAAAATCATAACTCCTCTCCCTCTCACTTAATTTTCCTGCCTCCAGGACCCATCATTTTCTCTGATAAACCCTTGTAGATCCAGCCCCACAGAGCCAAGAGCCCCTTCTCACTACCAACCCCACTCACCACATACACACTACCCCTCCCAGGGCCCAGCCCTTTCTCTGCCAAAGGAAGGCAGGGCCTCTGGGTGTGACAAAGACATCTGTTTCCTCAGACTTGACAGCCCAGTCCCATGATCTGGGCCTGCTGACGTACTCCCTCATGAGGCCCTGCCTCCCCAAACCCACATCCGGCCTCTCACCAGCAAGGCGGCCACAGCCTGAGCCCCTAGAGGCCAGTTACACAGAAAGAACTCCTACCACTGCCCCACAAAAGAGCCCTTTGCCTCAGTCCATGCTGGGGAGCTATTTAAAACACACACATGTCTAAGGCATGGTCCAGTCCAGATTACGTACTCCATCCCATCCTTGGACATTGGGACCAAAAACCATTCTTAATTTCTTAACAGTCAGCATTTGTTTGTTTGGCACCCTCTCATCACTATGCATTACTTTGCAACTTTTCAGTTTCCACATCTTCCCACAAGTCCAGGAGAGAACACCCACAGTACCCACTCTTTACATCACCGTCTGGATGCCCCTTCCCTGGAGAAGAGGCCTTGTAGCACGGCCACGTGCTCCTGAGCACTGTCCAAAGATGCTCTGCTGGTTCAGCTGAACCTTAAATCCCCTCTACCTACTGGTGCCTTAATGCCCTGAGTTTTGCCCATTTTCTCTCAAACTCTTAATTCCCAAACTCTTAATTCCTGACCCAGAAGTCTGGAGAAAAAAGACTCCAAGGTATAGAAGGGGGAAAGTGCCAGAGCCCTGGGGTGGGATTTAGGCTCCTATCTCTCCTTTCACCCCAAGGGAGTTGGGTCCATTCAGGAGATAGCACAGTTCACAAGAGGACACTTAGAGGAAAAGCCCAGCATGGGGCCAGCTGCCTAGGAAAAACCATCACCCTGACCCCTGCTCCTTGAGCCCACTGATATCCTCTTTCCAAGCATCTCCTACTTCCTGCCCCCAAACCAGGCTTAATTCAAAACCTTTTAAGAAGAAATTAAATAACTGTCTGTATTTTCCATTGGAATAACATACAAGATCACACTTACCTTTTGCCAAGACTAGAACAGTTGTTCAAGTTTTCCCTCCTACCCACCCCATGCCAATTGTGTTTGAATTACTTTGAAATACCATCTGGGAGAAATCATAAATATTTAAGGTTCCAATTCATAAAAAGGCAGAGAGAAAACACACACATATACCTTACCTGTGATTTGGCAAATCTTTGGGAAATGAGGATGTCCAGAAGAGCATTCCTAAATGCCTCCAAAACATTCTTGCTGATTCCATCTCATTCCTCCCCCCTCCCTTCCCCCAAGAGTATTCTAACTTGTCTGCATGGGTATCAGTGAGAAAGGAAAAGAACAAAGTGAAATTCTCCTAGGAACTTATGGATGGCGCTCATGTTCCCTGCTTCTTCAGTGGCATGATTAGGCTAGCCAAAAGAATCATTCCATTGGGTGTGGGTCCATGCATCTCACATCCCTGCACCCTAGGCAGAGCTAGAGCAGGTGGCTTCTACCTGCAAGCTGTTACCAGAGGCACTGGGCCTCCCAGGCCTGGTCTGCATCTTGTGAAGGTTACATACCTCAGAAGGTTAAAACTCAGATCGAGCCTCTTCGCAAAATGTCCATAGTCCCTGCCGAGGTGTTCTGGAATTTCTCTGCAGTTCTGGCCTATGTAGGACACCTGGAAATTAAATGGAACAGAAAATGTGGCAAATGGAAATCGCCCAGCTGCTCGCAGCCCTGAGTCATTGATCTGGTAATTGCTTCCGCAACTTTAAAGGCAAGCTCCTCATACACACATACACACACACACACACACACACACACACAAATACCATATTTGTGGCTGTTTTTCTGATCAGATCAGCTTTGGGGGCTTCAGGACTCTGCCAACAGCTCCCCCTTTCCTGTACACTTAGCATGATGAAGACTAATCCTAGCACAATGGAAACTGTACTAAAATTGGCTGGATTCAGATGTCCAAAAACAAACAAACAAAAAACAGTCAGAGCATGGTGATATAATCTCAGCAATATCACCCTCTCATTCAGGGGCCTTTCCAACAGCGGCCCCTCTGGCTCTCCTCCTCCTCCACTGTCCCCTGCCTTTCCCAAATACCCTGTTACGCACATCACCTCATAAAGACACAGCAGATGCACTTACTAGCATTCAACCTGCAGGGTACTGAACAAATAGGTTTGGACAAGAAAACCTTCTCAGACCGCCAATCCCATCTTATTACCACTGTGTGTTAAATGTCTGCCTCAGTCTGAACAAAGCTTATTCAAAGGCAACAGGACAACAACTAGTGGCCAGGGCTTCCAAGTTTCCCTCCTGCAAGGAGCCTTGTGCAATCAACACCACTCTACTTGCAGAGCTGTTCCCTTAGGCATTATTTTACTTATGTTATTATTAATCTAGTGTATGTCCAACTATTAAGAGGATGAATGAAAATTTAATCCCAAAACTTCTGACTTGACAAGGTCAAAGGGCTTTCTCATTGCTACAATCACCAAGTGTTTGAAACCCATTTTTACAGACAGCACCCCATGGGCAGGGTTGGCAACTCATTCCAAAATTCATTAAACAAGTGGGTTCGAGTTGGCTAGTGGGTCATGATACATGATACTTCCCTGCAGGACTCTACCCTGAATTTCCAGGTAGAAATTCAGGCCCATCACACAGCTACAGCCTTGATCCTCTCCCATCCCTGCCACCCACAAATCCACATTCTTCTGTGCATACAGACAAGGATGTCTTGGAATGAGTAAAAGACTCCCCAAGGTGTTATGATTCCTAATGGGAAACAAGAAAATGGTGGCCATCTCAGATATTACGTTTAACCATATGAATAACTACTATTCAATCATTTTAAAACTACAAAAACAGCACTTTCATATAACTCAACCTAATATAAATCACACTTCACCCTAGCACCCTCAATGATTCAAGTCATCTCTCAACCCTCTCTTATCTAATGGGGACAAACTTCTGACAATACAATATCCTGTATCCACTGTCCTTCAGTAACTTCATTCCTGGAGGAGAAAAAGTAGGGCAAAGGAACAGAAAAATAGCTAACTCCAATGAAATAATTTTGACTCAGGAAGATACAGGCTAATAAAGACTCTAAGTTCAAAGTAGCAAGTTCTCCCCTCTCTGCCTAGTACTCATCTTTCTTCAGAACCACTTGTATAGTAAATTAAATTCTGCTTCCAAGCCAAGATGGAAATCATACACCAAGGAGAGACTAGGGATATAAAGCTCAATCTAGGGACTTCAGTTTCCCTCAGGATGTCCACTCAGAATATCCACAGGATATTCAGTTTCCCCTATCATGTTCTACATGGTAAGTCCACTTTGACCACCCAGGTCCATGGTGCTCACCACAAAACCCCTGCTTTTCATGCTGGCATGTACCACCATCATGTACATATCATCATCATTCAAGAGCTCTGATACATACAACAGAGAAGCTGAGTTTTAGATGTAGCAACCAAGCTCTTTCCTCATAGACCCACCAGGGACTAAATCTATAGGGACCTAGTTTTTCAAAACCCCTCGTGTTTATGCGGGACAACTAGGACTCCAGAGGCCTGCCCAACGTAATAAGCTTCTCATCGACAGAGCCCAGATCATGGCCTGCATAGGGAATAAGGACTGCCAACTTGAGGGCATGGAGTTCTTACAAATCCACATGTGGATTTTCCTGATTGACAAATGCCAGTGGCACATCTATCATATATGTTGGCTTCAAATTGATTCTTCTTCTTTTTTTAAATTTATTTTTAGAGAGGGAAGAGAGGGAGATAGAGAGAAACATCAATGTGTGGTTCCTGGGGGCCATGGCCTGCAACCCAGGCATGTGCCCTGACTGGGAATTGAACATGTGACACTTTGGTTCACAGCCCGTGCTCAATCCACTGAGCTATGCCAGCCAGGGCCAAATTGATTCTTCTTAACTGAAAGATCAAGAGCTACATCATGTGGAAGGCACCAGAAAAGTGTCAGACACTAGGAAAGGAGACGAATATTTGCTCCCCTTTTTCTTCAGTAAGATTCCCCTTCAGAGGAAATTAGCAGCACTAAGGAGAACTATCACTACAAAGCATTCAAATCATTCACAACATGCCTGACAAGACTTTCATCGTGTTTTATTATGTGGTCTCAAAGAGCACAACATCCCAAGAAAACTAAACAAAGCACAACTTGTTCCCATTCCACAGAGACAAAGACCAAGTCTCCAAAACCTAATAGGAAAATCAACTTGACAAGCCATTTGCATATTTGGACCACCTACATAGTAACCTGGGAGCTTTTAGAGATGATTTTAGAGTGAAAACAACCAACCAACCATGTCGAAGTGTTCCTAGCCAGGCTTAAAAACAGCAGCCACTGCCAGGCACTACAACCAACGCTCATAAGAAGAGACCTCAGCAGAAGACACGACTTCTCAGGATGTCATGAAGCTTCTTGGAGCACACAGCCACCTAATGTAAGACACGAAGCCAGAAGAACCAGACCAAAAAGTGTTAGCTTCTTCAGCAAACAAGAGAAGGGATGTAGAGATTAATCTTAAACAGCACAGAAGAGCACATCTAAAATGAGAAGTCATTCTATTAAGTCAATTACCTTGATATACACTAAACTGAGGAACAAAGTTTTATACTTTTTAACTTAACCTACCTTATATAATCTGTACCCCAAGACTTCTACCTTGTGTGAAGTGAGAGCATGAAGGGACACTATCATCAGGGGAATTAAAACATATCAAGTTAAAGACCTCTACAGAGAGAAATACAAGAGAGAAAAATAAAATTGTCTTGGAGGATTTCTACACATACACACACCCAACCCAACCCTGCTAAAGGGTTGCAGAAAATTACTAAACTGTAGCACACCAAGGGTCTCTTTTTGCAGTTGGGACAGTCCAACTCCCAAGACATTTCTAGAGATGGTGGATTTGTCCATAATCACACAGAGAAGATTTTATGATACTTGGCCCCAGCCAGGGGTAAGGGATCCTTGATTTTAAATTTTTAGTACTGGTCCCTCCATGTTGTCACAAATGGTAGGATTTCATTCTTTTTTTAATTGCCAAGAAATATGCCATTGTATATATGTACCACTGTTTTTATATCCATTCAGCTATTGATGGATACTTGGGTTGCTTCCATGTTGTGGCTATTGTAAATAACACTACAATGCATATATCTTTTCAAATTAATGTTTTGGGTTTCTTCAGATATGTACCCAGAAGTGGAATTGCTGGGTCATAAGATAGTTTCATTTTTAACTTTTTGAGGAACTTCCATAGCTTTTTCCACAGCAGTTGCACCAACTTCAATCCCCACCAACATTTGTGACAACTTGGATGAACCCCTAGAGGGTATTATGCTAAGTGAAAAAGTCAGAGAAAGACAAATACCATATGATTTCTCCTATATGTGGAATCTAAAGAACAAAATAAATGAATAAACAAAACAGAAACAGACTCACAGATGCAGAGAACAAAGTGAGGGTTACCAGAGGTGCAGGGGGTTAGGAGAATGGGTGAGAAAGGTGAAGGGATTAAGAAGTAAAAACTGGTAGTCACAGGGATGCAAAGTTCAGCCTAGGTAATACAGTCAATAATATTGTAACAACTACGTTATAGTGTCAGGTGGGTGCTTGAATTATCAGTGGGGGCTGGATCTCTTTGTAAATTATATAATTATCTAACCACTATGCTGTACACCTGAAACTAATATAAAATATGGAATGTCAACTATAATTGAAACACAAAATTTTTAAGAAATAATGAACTACTAGCAGCTCTGCCAGAGTAGAAACAGCCCTGGGTACAAGTTTGTCTTTAGGCTGCTACTTACTAGTTGTATTACCTTGGATGGGCCACAGTCTTATGGACTGTGTTTCTTCTGTAAACTAGTCAAACACCAACTGCCCCCAGCATTCATTAAATGCCCACCACCTGGCTATTATCTAGTCAACACTCATGAGACAGCTCCATGAGTCACATATTACCCTCATTTGTACTTATATAAGAGGAATGAGATAACATCTTTGAAACACATAGCATGGTCCTCAGCACCTAGTGACCACTGGACAAAGTGCATTAGACCAATATTACTACAGAAGGGATTTGTTATTCTGATGTCTGTTGGGCACAAAATTTCAATGCCCAGATTCCAAGTTTGCATTTATATCTACCACTAAATTGCTGCCACTACTTTAATTGTCATAAGCTAGAGGGAAAAGAAGATTGAGAACTTTATACTGAATATAAATGATGCATTCAAGCCAACAGAATGTCCAGTGAAGTCAGATCCATGTTGAATGAAAGGTTTTACAGAGAAAGTGGAGGGAGAACTATATCTCCAAGCATTTGATATTGAGGCCCGTAGAAGCCTCATTAAATTATTTTAATTTTATTGGTGTTGATGGGTTTTTTTATTCTTAAACCATCCCTTTATTTGAAGTTTATAGAACTTAAATATGAGCTTAGAAAAAGTTATATCTGGTTTTATATGTATATATTTAAGCAATGTTGTAATAAAAACAATATTAACCCTATAGGCTCATGGCAAGCCCCATGAATGATTGCCAAAGTTTGAGAACTACTATGTGACACATTCAAAGTGCTATGTTTTATGATGGCTGTCATTAGAAGTTGCAAGGAGG